TGTTGTCCGTGCCCTTGGGTTGTGCTTATAGCAGTGATGGCGAACCTATGACACGCGTGTCAGAGGTGACACGCGAACTCATTTTTTTGGTTGATATTTCTTTGTTAAATGGCATTTAAATATATAAAATAAATATCAAAAATAGAAGTCTTTGTTTTACTATGGTTGCAAATATCAAAAAAGTTTCTATATGTGACACGGCACCGGAGTTAAGTTAGGGTTTTGCAAAATGGTGACACGCCGAGCTCAAAAGGTTCGCCGTCACTGGCTTATAGGCATATACGTTCTTTGGTTGATCTACCCCCCACCCCTTGTCTTTAACTTTTGCCAATACCCTATATAATAAAAGCCTAATATGCAAATCAACCGAGTGGCGGAATGACCAGAAGAATGACCAGTGGCTAAGATGCGCGCTGACCACCAGGGGGCAGGTGCTCAATGCAGGAGCTGCCCGCAGCCAGCAGGCCCCAGGCCAGCCAAGGCGGGTGCCAGCAGGGGGAGACCTGATCGCCCTGTCGGTTGCCCTGCAGATCAGCACTGATGGCTGGCCCAGCCGAGGGACCCTGCCTGTGCATGAATTTCAGCACCGGGCCTCTAGTGATTATAGTAATTGCAGTGTGTCATGGTGTGCGTCTCCCTGGAGTGATCTTACTTGGAGCTCCTGGTCTGGGTGTTTTTTCTCCCCCACTGTCTGCGGAGGTCTCACCAATGTCATTTAATAAGCTTTACCCGTTTCTCTTCCTTCTGTGGGGACCTGTATTACGCGAATGTGGTACTAAGTCTCTTCAGCCGCCTTCACTATTTCCCACGCTTTTCGCTTCTTTGATGGGATGCATTCCGCTGCCGAGAAGTGTATGTTCCAGCAAAAGAACAAGCCAGAACTCCAGAAACAGACGGATGAAGTGGAGATGGGTGACTAACCTATAAAGAATGGAGACTCATGGTCCTAAAGATGCTCACCGAGGCCCGGAGAACAGTGCGTGAACACAGAGGATTTTAATAAAGAGACGGGAAATACATAAGAAAATAACAAGCAAATCACAGCACTGAAGAATACAGACACGGAACTAAATTCTACAGAAGGAGCCAGCATCACATCACATGAGGCGGAGAGAAGAGCAGCCACGGGTCTGTTTTTATTGGAAGAGGGCCAGGGAGGGTCGCCCAGAGGAGGAGGCGTTTGAATTCCGTTGACATATTCTCACAGTACTGTTAGGTTTTTGGAAAGTGCCTACGGCTTCCTCAAATCCCCCGTGTGACGTGACAGTAAGCCGACCTGGTGAGGGTGGAGAGCGCATCTCAGCAGCCTTCCCTGAGTGCTTGCTAAGTCCAGAAACGGCCGGGCCCATCGCACTGTTTCGTTAAGTTATCACAGCGACATGGAGGCAGGCGTCGTTGCTCTGCATTTTAGGAGACCAAACCCAGGAGGAAGGACCACGCCCCATGTTATGTTAGACGCTGAGCCAGGGCGGCCTGACTTCACAGTCCGGATGCCCATCACTAACAGCACAGAAGTAGATTCTGTTTGAGAAGATCCTTGGTTAATGACATGGGCCCGTTCTTATTCAGACCAACCAAGATGCCATCTTTTAAAAGTGTGCACTGCTGGGCTGTTGTTTTTGATTATTGTGTAAACCGTTCCTGTTAGGAAGCATTGTGGAGCCAAGACTCGCCTTTCTAGAAAGTTTTTAATCTTTTCCATCTATTTGCATAAGGAGGACGAGTCCTCTGAATTAGTGCAGTGGATTGTCTGCTTAGCTGTGTACATAAGATAATGCCAAAGAAGCCTAAGGGTGTGTGTGTGTGTGTCGCGCTCTCTATATATCTGTGTCTAAATAAGAACTTTACTTCATCTGGGCTAGGTTGATGGACACCCTTTTTTAAATTTATTTACTTTTTTTTAATCTTTCATTATTTTTGTAGTTGTTCTTGTCTGAGGACAGAGAGACCCAGCCTGCTTCCCTCTAAAGCAGTGGTTCTCAACCTTCTGGCCCTTTAAATACAGTTCCTCATGTTGTGACCCAACCATAAAATTACTTTCGTTGCTACTTCATAACTGTAATGTTGCTACTGTTATGAATCATCATGTAAATATCTGATATG